TTAATTTGCAAAGAATAAGAATGTATAGCACATTTTCTAATTTTTTTATCATCAAACTCATCCAACCAAGTGAGTCTACAAGAACAACACCCGTCCCAATATTCCCTGTTTCGGTACTAAATTTCTCACTATTGAACTTTTTTTACACTACAGAAAGTACTCTCCATCTAAGCAGAAAATTTTGGAAACGTAAACAGAGCATAGATTTATTTAGAAACGAAGAGATTATAGGGTAGTTTTGATGGATGAGGAGAGCCATGACCCCTTTTGGGCCTCCAAGTAGCTCATCATCACACACTCCACTCCACATCTTCCCTCGGCACCTTGGTTATACACAATATTCTAAAGACATTTATCATAAATGTATATATGTACGGGTGTGTGTGCATATACATATATGTAATATATATCGACATACTATATATATATATATATATATAGAGAGAGAGAGAGAGAGAAGAGGGAGGGATGAGCTCGAAAGGGGGAGGGGTGACTAGGAAGGGGGATTGCGGGTTTCGGCTGGTCTGAGTGATGGGTACAACTCAGTTTGGAGTAGCGGTACAACTAGGTTTTGATTGAGGGTGTTGGTTGGGAAGAGAGAGAGCAAAAATCCACTGACAATATCATCATTCCAATTGAAAGTGGATCCTGATAGAACAATTGTGATGCATGAGTAGCATGACCCAAAATGGGAAAAACCTAAGATTCATTTGTAATGAACACAAGAACAAGAGAAATGACAACGTGAATCTGGAACTTAGAAGGACTTCCTTTGGCCCTAGGTTCCTCACACCCTATTCTTTCTCTTGATGGATGTACAAAGTACAAACTTTCCCTTTCTGTTTTTTTTCCAATCAATAAGTATGTCTTCCTAATACGGTAATTTGTTGGCCATCACTTAACTAACCTTCTATTACTCATTTTCTAACTGAAACCAATCAAAGATCTTTCCTTGTTGCTTATTTGCAACATACTAAGGTAACAAATTGTTAAAATATACCACATACATGTCATATTTTTATTGGTTATCTCATGTTATCTTTTATATCTGCAAAAGGAATGGGAGGCTTATGTTAACCACAGATGCAGTAAATTCCCTTCAGTTAAATATGCAGGGCACAGATTATATCTTACAAGGCAGATAGCACAGGTTCCTTCCTCGTGGTGTTGATCTGGAAAATGGTACACTGTTTCCCTCAAACAGTTCGAAATCATACTTTCAGACAAGCCTGTGTTGACATTCCCCATCCTCTCCCCAAGTGCAAGAAGTTCCTGCCCAATCCAATAATTAGACATTCAATGGAAATTGGAAAAGATCATAGGAGAACAAAAAAAGCAATGTTAACCACCTCATAATCCATGTTGTCAATGTCTAGCCTCATGTCTAGATATTCATCAAATTGGGGACCACTATAGAAAGGTGAGTGATCCACCATCATGAGAGCCTGCATGGATAAAAAAAGTTCCAAATCAACTGCAGATTACATATTAAAAAGTCAAATTAAACTGCAGCACATCCAATTCCGAATGAAACTCAGGCTAAGCAGAAATGAAGTTCTCGATGAGTACTGAAGTTAGTTGGTATTTAGCAGGCCAAAGCCATTAGATATGGCTAGCTCAGTTTCAAAGCATCCTCCAAGAACTAGCTTCCGCCAACTAGCAAAGTGAAGACCACAAACTGAAGAGGTTATACAGATGGCGAGAAAACTCATAACACCAAGATAGTCCTAAGATGCTTTTTGCTGAAGAAGCACAACTGTGCTAAGGTCTAACTGTCACTTAAGTCTCCTTAAATACATTCATATTTATTCAAGTGCTTACTTTAGGAAGGGGAAAGTGAGATAAAAAGGTGATAACTGATAACAGTTTTCCAGACCAGAACAATACAAGGATTCATCCCCACACATTCCAATAAATGGTCCCAAGCAGGACCATAGATACCTGGTCATGGATATCCCAAGAATCGTGATGGCACAACCCAAAACAGAGTAGGTTCGCGGTCAAGGCCGCTCAAATACTCAATCCCAAATAATAACACAAATCCCCAAATTGACTCACAACTTAGAATTCACAAATTATAATTTCAACCTCAAATTGTAACCCTAACATGTTATTCCTTTATTTTGGTGATCTTTAAACACATTTAGATTTGTTCCAATATGAAATTTTCTCGCATTTCAACTATGCAAACACTAACTTTTATTATTTACAACCACTAGCTGTTACATTGCCTTGGATTGTGGTTCACTTCAAAGCTCTTATCAGAAAAATAAAATGAATATTAGTTACAAGTGTATATGAATGTATAATAATCCTATCCCCATCGTACTACGTATCAAAAAAGGCATCGTACCGCATACCCGTACCCGCACCACGTGTCAAACTGACCTGCGATCTAGGTTTCAAATGTGTAGGGACATGCTTATCATAATTGACAAGTTTGCACATTAGACACCTATTAGCACCACCATGGCTATGACTTCTGAGGGCACCAAATCTGACAATCCAATGCACGTTGAACTCAAAACCCTTCAACACTATCCTTGTCGTATAGCTTATGAACTCATTTCCTGTCTAAGCATGCATAGAAATGCAGAAGTAAGACAGTACTGCAATTCCCATTAAAAAAAACCCTGTAATTGGATCCTAATATTCAGGGTCTCTTCAGCCCCAAAAACAGTGGACACCAAACAGGTTAGCTAAATCTTGCTTTCTTAATTTCAGCAGTAGTCAAACAATGGAAAGGAAAATTACATACCTCAGATCGTAGTCTATCATGCGCATCCACCAAACTAGGTATTGACTGGAATCTCTCAGTAGCTATCCTTTGCCGTCCATTATTGTAACTGTTATGCCATCCTCCAGCAGAACATGGCCTTGAATGTCTGGAAGAAGAAGTTTCTGAGAGTGAATGCAGCCCATTGTCTGAAAAAGCAGCTGGGTGTCCTGCATGGGAGTAGCTTGGACCGGCCCTATATGAAGGAATAACTCTCCTAGAATAATTGATGTGGCCATCCGTTGCAGTCTGCACAATGGGGGCATGAACATATTGTGAAGAGGAAACAGGGTGTCTGCTTGGAATGGAATCCTGGTGGTAGCCACGAATCTCGGCCGTGCTTCCCCCCACAAGAAAAGGATTTGTCTCGTGGCTTAATCTGCCCATATCTGCAATTTCGTCAAATCGCTCGGCTTTGTTAAAAATGGTTAAAACAATTTAAGGTGGGGAAAAAAGTAAACATAGTTCACACTAACCAGAAGTTGGAATCCTTCCGCAAGCAGCAGCAGAGAAAGGAATACCATTCCATTCACGAGTGGTGGCCTCAGCATTCAAATTACCAAGGTCTACTGTGCCAGAATGGTTGGTTGGATGCGTTGTTGAATCATAATGACCAGAAGAATAACTTGATATATGAGTTCTCACAGTGCTGGGTTCAAAATCAAGCCTAGACCGACTTCTCACATTCCTTATCAAAAGGCTACTACCCCTGTATTGAGGTATGCCAAGAGGACCAGAAGGGATGATATGACAATCTGAAGTTGGCTGCTCTGGCAGCATCTGAGATGAGCCAGAGGAACTTCCTGGACCATAAAATCTGATACTGCTGGCTCTCTCAAAAGGTCCAGAAATGGCAGGGCTTTTTCTTTTAAATTGCCCCCTTCCAGCGCTCATTGTAGAGTCTATTAGACCACCTTCAATTTCAGGCATAACTTGTCTATTGTAGTAACTAACATGTGCATGGCCAGCATTATTTTCTGGGGCCAGATACATGTTCCCAGGGACTGTTGAGTGTGAGAAGGGATTAAAAGTGGGACCTGAAATAGCTGGTTGGAAATGTGGTGCTTCCATGCTGAAACCAGCGGACGGATACTCACGTGATCTGTCTTCTGAATTCCACTGAGAATTATTGCATACTCCTCCCCTTAACATAGTATTCACCGGATAAAAAAGAGAACCATTTTCTGGTTCAACAGCCCTCCCTGACATAAATTTCAGAATAAAAAAACTATAGTCAGAAAAAATTTCAAATGCAGTTGGGATAATTCTAGCCTTTTTAAGTTGTCATTAGCAAATTATGACATATAACTATATAAGTAACACTAATCATTAAAAAATTAACGCCAAAAGTTACTAATAGAGATCACCCCCTCCCAAAAAAGTAAAGGAAAAGGGTAAAAAGAATCCAACTTTAGTAACCCAGAATTCTTATAGTTTCAAGATAATCACCCTCAAACTATCTGTAAGAGTTGCTCATATATGAGAGAAAGGATGTAATACTTTTCTTCTTTCACTTCCTCTTTTTTCCTTTCCCCACTATGTTCCAAAGGACCCCTCAATGAACGAATAAAAATGTTAAAAACATTCAAAGATCCAGTACCCATAGAAATATATGACTGCTCCGCAGACAAATGATTTTGGTCCCGAGTCTCTTGACCTTGGTTGATCCCAAACACATTGAAAGAGCTTGAAAATTGTCTATCCCCCATGGTTTCCTCAAACCTGAAGATGAATGGAGCTATGGAATCAGAACAGATTGGTTACATCAACCTGCATAACAGGCAAAGTTCATAAACAGTACAGAAGAGTGTGGCAATAGAAGATAAAAACAAGCATTTCTACCAAGTGGCTTCAAAGGAGTGCCTTCCACCGCGGATACAATGCCCGTAGCCTAAAACAATTCTCCTAAAATTCACACATTTCTAAAATATTTCAACAAGTATTCTACATTATCAGCCATGATCAAGACCATGAGCCTTTAAACCAGATCCTTTGAATACCAGACACCCACTAGCATGTAATGAATCCCACAATCATAACTGTGATACACAGAATGGGTCAAGACTGATAGCTCACCTGCCTCGGGGCATGGATGCTTTTAACAATTATATCTGCAGAGGAAAATGAGTGATGAAACTACTCAGACTCTAAAGTTCTATCTTCCACAACTCCAGTCTCCAGACTTTAAACCACTCGAGATTTTTTCATACATATTAGAATGTAGCAGTGCCTTACATAAAAAAATTTAAAACATTCAACAAAAAGAAGGATGTTGGAGAAATGTGGAATTACCCGAGTACCCATAAAACCTTAGACAGCTTCACCTGATAACGAACACTTGTTATGACAGAGGAGCAAAAATTGTACAGTATTCATTAATTCTTGAGTTATACACCAAAGGATCAAAAAGTTCTGGAGAATGCTAACCCAAAGCCTGATGAAAAATAAGCAAGATCAATTTGACTGCTTTCCATAATCTTATCCCACTCGTGAGCGTACTATTGTGTGCTTATATTAGCTTGCCGACCAGTACAAAAATCTAAAGAGATTCTTCACGAAGACTAAGTTTCAAAATTTTTGGATGATAGGAGAGAGGAATTTGATAATGGAACTCAGATGCAATAACAAGTAGGTAAAGGTTATTGCAGCAGCTTTGAAGTGAGAAAAAAAAAGCCAAAAACAATTTCTTTTGCCAACCAGAAATGAGGGGCCGGGTGATTCCTCGTCAACACACCCCACCATAAGAAGACCCAAAAAAAGAAAAAAAAAAAGAAGATAATATTACATGAGAGACCTCAGATAACTGGAGCCCTCCCCCTCTTCTCCCCCCCCCCCCCCCCCCTCTCCCACAAAAAAAAGTGTTAATGAACAAAAAAATCCAGATCCTGGTTCATTGATGTGTTTTACATTTGTCCAAGGGAATTTTGAGAAGTATCAACTTCTGTATTTAGAATAAGAAATAAATATATCTGGGAGGTAATGGACAAACATCCTAACATATCTAAGAAGTATAAACATTCAATAAAGAAATGATACACATACTCAAAGCGTTTGCTACTCAGCAAAGGAGAAAACCTACACCCATATATGCATTATGATAATATAGTAAAATCGAACTAAGGGTTAATTGTGAAATATGAATATCTGGATGTCACTTTTGCTTCTCTTAAAGGTGATGCTACTGGTTCTAGCCATGCCATACATTTAGAAGCCATTTGAAATCAAGGTCGGTGATTATGCTGATGATTTGACAGCCATCGCATAGCAAGATGGAAGGTTCCCGTAATACAACACACACTAAGAAATACCAAGAGGGGACATATTTGAGAGTAGAAAGTTCCAGAGTTGAAATGAACTCAACACAAAACTGGACTGGACTGGTAGACAACAATTTATAACCACAAGCTTTAAAAGGCACAGTTATACTTGATGATATGGAGAGCTAATAAAGGGGAACCAGGAATGGAAAGCAAGAATTCAAGATTGATGACAAGGCTCAGAAGCCTGTTTATCTGATGGCTCCCAAAAAACTGAGTTAGTCTTTTTCATCAAAACCCTTGAACACACGGCTCATTTTTAGAGTAGAAGAATATACAGTTAACACAAATCAGATCTGTACTGCCACTTAATCTTTGTTGGTGTCAAGACTATGGAACTTCTAAACAAATGTACACCTATGACAAAGCAGAATTGTAAGTTCACTAGTTATAATATTGGGATTGGCTCAACGGTATGTTTTCAATTCCAAAAAGATGTCACATGATCAAAGTTGCCAACCTCTAGAGGCTATCCCCCAGTGTATACCCGGAATTACAAGCTACAAGTGGGACCGAGAGACTGAATGTCACCGGTAGGATTTTGTGGCTGCTCTAAGGGGAACCGATAGCCTGTGCCACAGGCTATGAAGTGATAAAAAAAATACAATTGCTTCAAGGCCTTGTCCTTCCACATGTCAAATGGTTACTACATAAAAAGATGGTGTATAGGTCAACAAAAGGCTAGAATTTGACAAATTGACACAACCAGCATAATCAACATTTCATGTCACCATCAACATTTTCTTCTTAAATCTCAGGTCTACATGCCTAAACAAGGGAATTGTAAATAAAAAAAATGGAGATAATGGGAGATTCCCTGGCAATTACTGGCCATAACAAATGATTGATAAATCCAAAAAAGTACAAAAAGACAAAATACAGATTCTACAATCTGTAACTATCCACAAAAGAGGATTGCGTATATTTAGAAACAAGTAATCATGAAAGAGGATAAGCAGCCTTCTTCTAAAAAGTTGTGCCAACTGTATCTCTTTTAAACTAAAATTTAGAAATAGGCCATAACCCATGGCCCATGAAAACTTTCCATCCTTTTCCTGCTGGCAGAGAAACAAATCCACTTTGTGAGTTCAAATTAGAGGAGTGCAAAAACTTTTTCTCGAAACATATAAACTTCAAGTAATCTAAACCTCAAACCACTACTTGAACTGAAATCCACAATATTAAATTAGACCATGGATGACTACATTCCTACCTGATAATCAGACCAGGACATAATTTGCCTTCACTGCATGAAACATATCATCCTTTAGAAACATACCAAGACAAAATACACCAATGTTATTAAAGGAAATACCTCGTTTTCTGGGTAGTTAAACCTATTTGTTAATTGCCCTACACTGCATGTCAACATTATCCCAGAGAAGGAAAAATAAAAACGCCATATTATATGGCCCCCAAAGATGTATCATCAAGAAAGACAATCAAAAGGATAAGGACCTTGTACCAAGGATACAATATTACAACCAGCATGACAAGAAGCAGAAACCAACACTTGTATGAAAGAAGTGAGACTTCAAATGACGGATGCACTATTCAAACTGCCAAAGAATAAAGGGAAGTCAAAAGCTTTAGCAGGTCTGCCATTCTAAACATAATCTACCTCATTATAGCAAGATATAAAGCAAATGCCGTAATCTGCTCCAATTAATTATTACTATCCATCATTGTGCAATTGGTCTAACAACTATGCACATATAAAGACTGTTAATACAGGTAAAATGTTGCTATAAGTACAATGCTGTATATCTAATATGAAGAACAAAAAACTAGAAAACCATATATGTCAATCAAAATCACCAGCCTTTCAGAATTACAACCAATAACCACACCTCCAGGGAATCATTTTTTTTGTTTTTCTTTTCAACCAGCCACCTCCAGGAATGATCACTTGGATAAAAAAAGAAGATTGTAGGCCTATTGCTCCTTGTCAGAAGTAATTGCATAAAACTTTTGCACTTGAAACCTTGGTGAACAAGTCGTGATGCAATCTTTACACGACTTTGGGATGTAAAAGACCAGAAGGCCTTGTCTGGGAAATTGATGCTTTGAAGGTGTTGGGAACTTGGCCAACAATGAAGTCAGACAAAACAGCCAAAAGAATCAACACAACTTACCAGACAGAGTGCATGCTCCAAGAGAATAAACCAGTTCATCCACTCGAAAATCTGTTATAATTCTCCATTCCATCGATAAGCCAATTATCCAATAAAAACTTTCACAGGGTAGCCTTCCCTGTGGGTGAACTTTATTCATCAACTCTGAAAAATGAAGCAATTCAAGTCACCGATTTTGCTCAACCCACCCCCTCCCCTCCCCCCCCCCCCCCCCCCTCTCTCCCTTTTTTTTCCAACTCCAAATACCCAAAGCATTTGATACAAAAATTTCAGAGCATAACTGAAGACCAAAGCTCTCCTTATCATCTAGACAACTTATTATATTCTTCAGTGGCATCATCTACACAAATTATTTATTTGGAAACCAAACATCAGGAGTAAACTTCCAACCACTTACCAACTTATGGTGTAAGTGTACTGCCAAATTGCTACCCAACAAATGATGAATACATCTAGCAGAAATTTAAATTCTTTTTTATTCCTCTGTATCAGGTATTTCTGAAGGCCAAAACCCAATCAACTGTCGGTGTGTTCTCTCATCTCGCCGACAGACGCTCTGTTCTCTCATCTAAACCATCATTAGAATTAGGGGTTTAGGGTTTTGCACCGCTTGGTTAGTGCGCCGTTTGAAGTCTCTTTTGCGA